GGTTGCGGGACCAGACCGAGGGCTCGGTGGCCTCGGTGGCCAACGGCACGCCGGGCTCTTTCCGCTTCCGTTCCGTCACCACCGCCTCCTTCTTCCGCAGCCGCAACAGGGACAGGAAGAACAAGGAGCAAGTGGATGAGGATGCCAAAGAGAACGGCGACACAAACGTAACTACGAGAATGTAAAATTTAATGTGAAAACACGTGTACTGACTAAATGTAGTTTTTACTATTATTCTTTGCAACTCTTACTCTACTATGCATAGTGTAGTGTCAATAATTGAAAATATGTTAAATATGAATTCCTTTATTGTACCTTTAAGCACAAATTGTAGGATGTTCCTATTTGTTTATAGATATTGCCTTTACTGTACAATTTATTACTAATGGTTTTGTTGATGTGTGTATTTTTACTCATATCTCTATGAATTTCGTGACAAGAGTATCAAATAGTAAGTTAGCTCACTTTCATAGTTTCCGAATAGACGTAATATTAACATTAAGATTACATAACACTGTGTAGAGACATACTACATATTCTAGTCGAAAAGATCTGAATGAAGATCTTAATTTAATTTTAAATATTATATAAATGTTACACATTACACTTCAAGCTACTATTCTCTTACATAGAACCTATATTAAGTTGTACAAATTACTTAATTTGATAGTACTAATTGGATCCCCACTCGTTTGGACACACAAAGAGTATAGCACAAAGTGAATTGGTTTAATGTACATAGATCTTTTATTTTTTGTAAATACATCTTTGCACAAAGTATTTTTAAATGGTGCATGAATGTTACCCTTATATTATATAGAAAATATATATTTACTGTAATTATAATTTGACAGCTCTCTTTGTATATTGTGATCAGTATTCTTATTAAAACAAAGATACATTTTAAAAAAAATATATTGTATTCCTGTCCACCGCTACTACTGACGTGTGGATGATCCCAAAGGTTCTCGTGGAAGATCAGCGCTGGGTACTTCAACTGCATCTGGCATTTATAGCCGAGCTTGGACCCAATCCGGTCAGCCTTGCAATGCTCATTTCAAATATTTTTTGTCTTTTAATTACGTATTTATTATTCCTATTTAATTGCTTTATTTGTTGTTAATTTAATTGTATTGTTGATAATGATTGAATGTTGTTTTATTTATTTTTTATACATTTAAGTGACAAAGCATGTTTAAAAATTATTATTTGCTAAAATAAATGTAATCATTTAGATTTAGAATTTAGAATGCATTTTATTTAATCTAAAATTAATTACTTTTTATTATGTTATGTATAATCATTGATGTTATTATATTATGTTTATTTTTATTTATATTGTATCGTCGTTAAATGTAACAATTTTATGACAATGTGCTTAAGATAATCGCCATTTTTCTGCTTCTGAAGCATTTGTAAATCTTTATATTTAAATGTACTTTTATGAGAGACTTTAATACAATTAATATAACACGTAGAAGTAATTAATGTAAAGCCAAATTTAACTGATCTCGAAACGCATTTTACTTGTAGTTTTTGTCAAATGTGAATCATAAATTACTAGTATATTAAGATTGTCTTGTAAATATATGGTGGATTTTTAGGTATTCGTAACTTTATTTATTTTTAGTAATAGTACTAATTTTTCATATCAGTGTTCGTATACTAAATGTAACCAAAGCCAAAATATAGTGAAAAATATAGTACCATATGAAATAGATAATAAATGTCTATTATAGCAATCTGCGTTTTATTAACGAACTATCTTTTGTCCGCGATTCCGTCCGCGTGGAATTAAAAAACAAACGAAAGTAGCCCATGTGTTCTTCCAGACTTTTTTTATATCAAAAAGTGGAACATCCGCCAAACTGGCAAAGCGACCGCTGACTATCCTTAGTGTCGATGGAGGAGACGCACATAAGAGAATGTTTCCTCTTTCTGTGCGTCTCCTCCGCCTTTCTTATATGAAAAAGGATGGGAAGGAAAAGTGACTAAAGTTGGGCCTTCGGCGCTTTTTATAATTCCACGCTGTCAAAGTGGCGGCCGGACCGCTATCTTTATAACGGGTAGATTTTGACGGGACTTTGAAAGAGAGCTGGTAGAAGGAAGATGGACATAGGAATATTATACATATCCATTTTTTAAAATTCCGCATTAACGAAGATTGCGAGCTTAAATTCGAGTTTGATATTAAATTCAATAAAACAAAAACTTTAAGGACATGTGAAGGATGGAAAAAAATACTTTTCTAACGTTTATTAAGAAAATTTTTAACAAAATATTGAGATGTTCATGATTAATTTATTACAAAAAACACGATTTTTTTTCCTTACATATAAAAATGAATGATGAATGTTACAATAAATAATGGAACATTATCTTACAGGCAACATTATTATGGTGGAAATTACACAGCCCGGTTATATTCTAAAAATACATGATTCATTTGACATTGATTTTCCACTGAAAATTCATACAAAAATGTATAGCTATTTCATTTTTTTCGGAAAGAGTGAGCGAGGTGACTGTTTTGACTGCCGTAAAAGGTCAGCTTTCCTTTAGCTCAATTTACAAAGTTGGATTGTTTTCTTTGCTTTCTTTTAAAACGTATTTCTTTTATGGCAAAATAAACTTCAATGGCAACATATTTTTTAGTAAAAAAATCTAATTAAAGATAATTTCATTATAATAAAAAATATGTATGAAAAACAACGTAACGGTATATCCATATTTACGTTAAAATAAATAAATCTCTAGTAGTTATGGTTCCGTGAATATTCATTTAGTAATTCAAACCTTATGTTAGATGGAAAATTATCCTGTGAACTTAGTACACAATAATATTGTACTAAGCATTTTTGACATATTCTTACATATTTCAGTGTTTGTTTTATAATAATAAATATTTCGGCAAGAATGGTTTGTATTGGAGGTTCAAAATCTGTTTACAAAATCACCATAACTTTATTTTTAAAGTAATATCAAATACGTACTTCATACTACGCATCCACAATAACATGACAGGAGGAAACATTTTATTGACAAACAATTCGAGATTAATACAATAAAATAATATAAATAAAAATCATGGTGTGATGGTCCCATTTCAATATCATTTTATTGTTAAATTTTATTTATCTAATTATTTGTCTAATTAATAACTGATTTGTATTCCGAAGCGGAATATATTTTATAAATAATTTGTACAGGCGGGCCTCGTGTTAAAAATAAACTTTAACAATACCTAATTCTTACAATCTACAATAAGAAAATTAAATTAAATAAATTAGATTTGTTACAATACGAGGGTTCATTAAGGCTTATGGTGACAGAATAGACAAATAATTTCATGAAAATAAACTTTTTAATAACAAGCCAATATTCTAGAAGCTGCGTCAGAGTGAATAACATAAGAAACATGTTTTTACAATGAAAACGTCAATTTTTTGCAAAAAAAAAACACAAAAAAACGGATTATATGACTCTGGAAAACATACAGCATTGCTTATGAAAGAATTTTCACGGTCATTCGACGTTGACAGTTAGTGACAGCGACGGTTGTTACTCTAAGAGCCTGTCCCACTACTGGCTGATAGAGGCTCAGATAGCTTAAAAATGACATCACTGTCAGATAAGGTAACAAAATCCGATATTTCCATCACATACACGTTGGATTGTTATCAGACAATTTACAATTTGGTAGGATTGACACTAAGTATTATAGCAACTCTTCTCGACAGCTAGGACAACGCCCCATAGTCATTTACGAAGTTCATAGCTTTGCGTAGCGTGATAACTCATAGGGAAAAGGTTAAAAGTAATAAGTTTTTGTATGAATACCGCGCGTAACTATGGCAACGGAGCTACCGGCGGCAGCCGAGCGGTTAATTTGCCACCGAGGTAAAATACAGCAGAGGAAGAATCGTCGTGCGAGAGCAGCTCATCGAATAGCGTAGAAAAGGGGAAATCACGGAAAAAGCAAAACAAACATCAAAACGTCCCGGACCAGCGGTATAATGGTTAGTCTCCGCACTAACATTATGCACCAACAATGTGCATCACAAAGATATGCGAACTCTTCAAAGGATTTCTTATTAAACCCAGCTTCCGAGCCAGATATACTTGATTTAGGTGAATATAAGACTAACATCGATCAAAATAAAGTACGGAAAATGACGGACGAGACGCTTACAACAGTTAATAAAACTTCAACATTTGAATTCGTCATCATGAACATTTCTCGCTAAGCTAGTCGCTGACGAGAAACCGAGTGAACAGAAATTGCAAAAACTGTTAGGCCAACTACACTTCCAGGGAATATGGTGCCATAGTGTGGTCCTATTTTGATAGAACACTGTGGAACATCAGGCAACGTCCTTATTGTGTAATAGTGCAGAATGTTCCGGTGAGTTCCACGGAGATCTCGGATACCTCTATTGCATTAGAGGCTGGCCACCGAAGGGGTTTCAATGGGTACAAACATCACATAAGACATCCCTCCAGAAGAAAGGGTATCTTTTTGAAGATTTCACCCCCGATACAAAAAAACTAACTAAATGTCGCAAATTTCGTAATACCCCGGAGATGGCTTCACTGTCGAAGAATCCAAATTTTCCTACAATTCAAAACAAGAGAACCACATCAACGACCTAAGATTCGCCGAATCTTTCAACAAGAAATGTGCGAGGTGGTATGGAAAACATCACCCGTGCACATGAAGCCTAACAGACACATCGGATCGGGGCTGGGGTGAGTCAGGTGAGAGACAGGTGAGGACATGTTATTGCAACAAAAAAGAACTATATGCCGAGATAGCAGCAATCGAGAAAACTATACAAGGAAGTTAGAGAACTCCCATCTACTTATTTAGACAGACAGTCGAACTCTGCTTATATTCGAAACGAGGTCTTTGAAGAACAAAAGAACAGATTCATCATAATCCTAACAGGTCAGGACCTACCAAGAAGATAAAAACAGTGGTAGAGCTCGCTTAAACATCTCGCACGAATTAGTTAGCTCGCCCCCAGTAATACCACAAAGATAGGTGTGAAGTGGAAGCAATTCCACGTACAGTCTGATGTGGTGCCCTAAGCCCAACTTTAGTCCCTTCCAAACCTTTTTCTGGATAGATGGGAAGGAAACGTGGATTTAACGGTGCTGGAGACGCATAGGAAGGGGAAATATCCTCTTTATGTGCCTCTCCTCCATCGATTAAGGGTAAACAACGCATCCACTTTGGTGGATTCAGGTGGCCAATCGTTTTTGCCACCTTATGATATAGAAAAAGATAGAACCAATAGCAGACAGACTGTCACGAGGAAAACAACCATCTCCTGCCCTAATTAACAGCGACCCTTCCGCAAATGGGGCTCACCAGAGATAGATTTATTCACCACAAAATAAACTAAGGTAGTGAAATATAATAATGATAAACTGCACAGATGAAATATGAAAATAACGGACCTTATCCAATTGAAATATTGTATGCATTAAATGCATTTTCCGAATTACACTTTGGCGTTTTGAAATTAAAAAATAATCTTCACATATAGTTTGTGACGTGTTCAATGTAACATCGGAGTTTGCAGCACTTCTATCCACCTGAAAACAATATCATACTTTATTATTAAACAAACCAAATTTTCTGAAGTAGAACACGGCGAAGTGCCCTAATTGTACATTTACAGTGAAGTTTTTTAAACTTTTCTAGTGATTTAAGACAGAATTAGGCACACTGTCTAGTTAGTAACTTAGGTTAGTCTCTGAACCCAATGGGGACATATAGTGAGCTGATCAGGCACATTCTTATGTAAACCTTAATTTAAATTTTATTAAAGAGTGACGATGGCTCAGTGGGTTAAGCACTTGACTTGTAATCTACAGGTCTTGGGTTCGAATCCCGCTGTACCAATGTGATTTTCGGTTTTTTCGAATTTCACATGTACATAATTTACCCGACGTTCTTATGATGAAGGAAAACATCGTGATGCCTGCACATATCGGCGAAGAAATTCAAAGATATGTGTGAAGTCAAACCCACTGGGCCAGCGTGGTT